AAAAAAAAAAAAAAAAAAAAAAAAATGCTGGGCATGGTGGCGCATGTCTGTAATCCCAGCACTTGGGAGGCTGAGGCAGGAGGATCTCTGTGAGTTTGAGAACAGCCTGGGCTACATAGTAAGTTCCAGTTCAGTCTCAACTACATAGTGAGACCCTATCTCAATCCCCCCATATATATGTACATATATGTGTATGTGTATATACAAACACACTCTTAAAATAGAACCCTGTTGAAAAAAATAAATGCTATAAAAATATGTAGATTCATCTAGATTGTACTGTTTTAAGGAGTTTTTATTCCCTTTGGTATATCACAATTAGTTTTTCTTATAGCAACTCATAGGAAGATTTGTTAAATTAATATTGATCACTTTAAGGACATTTTATGTGCTATATGCATATGAAGCAGGTTTTCTTATACAAGGAATGTGTAAATGTTCTTTGATCATGTACTACTAGATTTTTCTTTGTGGCTTTTTACTTTTTCTTAATTGACACATAATGGTACAATGTGATAATTTTATATATATCTCTTGTGCGAAGATCAAATCAGGGTAATTAGCTTTTCCCTCTCATTTCTTTTTGTTGGGAAGCTTTGAACTTGTGTCAATTTTTTATAAAATAAAATAGGTTATTGTAAACCATGGTTACCCTACTGTGCCACAGAATCTGTTTATCTTCTGTAACTCTACTGTGGGACCCATTGCCCAGTCTCCCTCTGTCCCGTCTACCCAATCTAGCCTCTAGTATGGTTGGTTTCTAAAGAGGTATATCTACTCTTTTTAGTTAATAGTCTGACAAAATATTCTTACCTATGATAGCATGTAGGCTTATTTTAAATAATCAGTTTTTCACGAGCAATATTTTGATGCCATGATTCTGTGGAATTATATATTAATTATATTATCTTACTATAAATTTTATGGCTTTTTTACTTACCAGTTGTTTCTAGTTGAAATAATCTCATGAACTATATTGAAGGTAAAGAATAATTTTTTTGTTGCCTTACAAAGATCACATCAAATATGGACTCTGTGGGTCGAATACAGATGCGAACAAGACGTACGCTGAGGGGCCACCTCGCCAAAATCTATGCTATGCACTGGGGATATGACTCAAGGTTTGTGCCTCTCATTTTCAAACTGTCAGAAGAATTATTTTTTCTTAAGAATCACTATTTGTTCTTTTTCTTTACAAACTATACTAAGTGCTTGTAGAAAACGCATCCAGGCTTTCACTGAGAATACTGAAACTCTTTGAAGTTGGGGGGGGGTCTCTCTGCATCAAACTGGGGATCGTGCTTGCTAGGCAAGGGCTTTTTTGCTGTTCTACACCCCCACCCCTGAAAGTTAAAAACTTTTACCTCAAAAAAATCCTTTATCAAATGATCTGAAAAGCAGTTTAGGAGAGGATTTCATTTCTTTGCAGTGGATATTATGCTTTTTAATATACCCACAGCAGTTGAAATATTAGTAACCTTGAAACTTCAATTAATATAAAAATACTCATTGAACATCTTCTCTGTGCAAGTTAGTGAATATTGCTGTTTCTTTCCTAAATTCACAAAGGTTGGATTACATGAAACTTTACCTCCAACACAACTTATAAATGCAAGTTCCTGATGTGTGGTGTCAGCCTCCACAAGTGCACAAGCACTCATCTGGCTCATACCCAGCTTGCAGTTTAAATGGTTCGGTCACCACTATTCACTTTGTCCCTAGGGTGGCGGTACAGCCTGTGTTTTTCCCAGTGTTTGGCAATAGCAGGTCTGCCTGCTCTCACAGTGGCTGACTTGTTCCTTTAATTTGCTTAATCTTCCCCCCCCATTAATTTTATTGGTACATATAAAGCAAATAACACAGTTACATTTGTTATTGGAATCTTGTACTTTTACATGATATGTCTTGGTTCTTGTTTTTCCCCATACCCCCGCCCTCCCTTCACCCACTTCACCCAATTTGGTTAATCTTTTTGAATACTACTAGTCAATGAAATACTACTAGTGTTACAGATTGCACTTGTTTTTACCAAAAGGAAAAGCTAATGGTGGAATATGGGATGCAGTCTAAGGAAAAGCAAAAAAAAAAAACCTTCAGTACCTCTGGAAGAAAAATAGTCCCACATGTTTTATCATCTGCTTCTAGGCAACACTAAGATTTTAAAGAGGAAGCCTGCCTTCTTAATGTTCTCTGATATAAATGGGATAGGTGAATATATGAATATAGAGCATGTACCTCTTAGAAGATAGATAAAATTATACAATTGATGACATAAAGCTAGGGCAAAGTTACATTTTTCTTAAAATTTTTTAAGATAAAGATAATTTGTCTTGTTGACACAGCAAATCCAACCACTTGAAACAATGTCGGTTCTTTGCTTTGCTCTCAAAAATGTTCTCAAAAACAAGAATCACCCAGGAACCTATTTCACATTGTCTGATTATCAGCTCCTTCCTTACTAATCTCATGTACTGATAATGCCAGTTGAATTTTGAAAAATTGTTCTTAGATTTTATCCCGTATTCCACCATTATCTTTTCCTTTTGGTAAAAACAAGTGAAATCTATAACACAAATAACCTATGTTGTTGTTTATCTTTAGGGAAGGGAACTGAGAGGCTGGGGAGTAGGGCATAACAAGGTCTGTTTTTTGGTTTTTGTTTTTTTTTTTTTTTTTAAGCTGTAGATCCTTTTGTATTTTTTGAATTTTATGTCATCGTAAAAAACAAAATTCCAGGAAGATTTCATTGACTAGTATTATTTACTTAAGGATTCATACTCCTTAGCCTAGTAAACAGAACTTTCTGCAGTTTGATCTGTCTGATTTTCTCAGCATATTCCTCCGGTTTCTCTCGAACTCTACACAACTGAAAGATTCACAATTCCTGGAACACCCACTTATCATCGGTCATACGTACTCTCCTTCGAGAATACAGACTTCTCCATCTTTAGCTCTCCAAAATGCATTTTTCAAGATGCATTTTTTAATTAATTCAACTCAGTTATTCATTCCTCTTTTACTCTCCCACAGTATTTCTTTTATACGAGTCTTTTGGCAATTTCAATTTGATTTATTATAAGGATCCTTGAATGTCTCTGCTCCACTAGATGGTAGAGGCCTTGTGAGCAAGAGATGTGCCTTGTATACTTGTCACACTGCGCAGCAGCCAGAGGCTCTCAGCTGAAGTATGACTGTAGGCCTCTGTGTTCTCTGTTGTCATTAGGTAGATTGTATACAGTAAACCAGTCAGCTAAGATCTACGAAAGCCTTGAATAACAGCTGCAATGTTGTCACCATGGAGAAATTGAGACATAACCAAAGACATGTTCAGGGAGTTGCTAAGTTTATGCTCAAAATTTATGGTACACAGTGTATATTTTTTAAAATATTAGAATATTTTTAGTATCCAGTTTCTATTAGAAAAACTGTATTTTTATTTTCTAAACTTTCTTGCACTAATGTCATATATAACTAACTTAAACTCTTTTTCTTGGAAGTTGTTATCAAATTTTTTTTGTGTTTGTTTCTCCAGGCTCCTAGTCAGTGCTTCCCAAGATGGAAAATTAATTATTTGGGATAGCTATACAACAAATAAGGTAGAATTTTTCAATCATTCTTTTAAATAATCTTGTATTTGGTTTGCTGTCAACCATTTCTGTTTTTTATTCTTGTTTCAAACTTTAATTGCCTTCTGAGATAAACCTATTTTTTTTTTATCTAGAGTGTCTCTTTAGTATATATATATATCCCTTTTTTATTCCCAAGGATGAAGTACATTAATATTATTTTTACTTGAATCTTATATTCCATTTTTGGATTCTAAATGTGCCATTTTTATGCATAAATGAATTTTTCAAAATTCCTATTTCCTGCTATGAAATGACCCTGGTGTTCATTTCTAATTGTGGAAGAGCTAAATGGTTAGCATGAGGCCCTTCCCTGGCCCCCTCCAGGCACTGATCTGTGCTTCTGGACTGCTTAGAAGATAGGATGTAGGCAAAGTATAGCTTGTTTGTATTGTTTGGTAGTGGAAGATTGGATTCTCTTAATGCATCCACTGCAAGGAATTACTGATTTAAAGTTGTTGAGTGGCAGTGGAAAAACTATGAATATTCTTTCACAAATCACATACCTTTATGATCTCTGTATACATCGCACTTTTTTTTTTGGTACTGAGGATTGAACTCAGGATCTTGCATTTGTCAGGCAGATATGGTGCCACTGAGCTAAATCCCCAGTCCACATAGCAATATTTTAGTAAGCATTTGAAAATAGTATTTCATAAAATGATAACTTCAGCCTGACTTTTTTCTTTCAGCTGTACTGGGATCAAACCCAGTGCCAGGGGTATGTTGGGGAAGTGCTCTATTACTGAACCAGCCCGCAGTCTGATTGAGAGTTTAAAGCTAGCTAAGACAATAACAGCTTTTCTATGTTAAATGGCACCAAGCATGTCTCCTTCAACTACATTTTCCTAAAACAAAACCAAAAAGTACACTTTAAAAATGTTACTGTAGGTTAAGAGCACAGCAGCGTTTATGCAGTGTGTTGGTATCTTGCACAGACCACTTAGACTTAACATACCTACACACTTCAGTCTTTCCATACAACCTGCAGATTATTGGGGTTGGATAAAAAGGCACCAGTCAAATGTGACTGAAACAATGCAAAACCCTCTCACTATTGTTTGAATTTGATTCCAGAACACCCATTACTAAAATAATGCTAGTGTTACCTCTTTTTTTTTTTTTTTTTTTTTTTTTTTTTTTGTGGTGCCGGGGATTGAACTCGGGTCCTTGCACTTGCAAGGCAGTCAGTGGAACCACTGAGCTAAATCCCTGGCCCTAGTGTTACCTCTTAATGGAGGAACCATTTGAATTGACCCTGATATTTGTTAATTATTTCCCTTTTTATTGTTTAGCATTATGCTGGAAGAAGTTCCTCTTTTGAGCACTGCTATAAAAAGAATTTTACTATAACCTTTAACTTTTGTTTGTTTATTTGTTTTTTGAGAGAGGATCTCACTGTGTAGTCCAGGCTGGCCTTGAACTCATGGCAACCCTCCTGCCTCAGGTACTCAGCCTCCCAAGTGCTGGGTTTACAGGTGTGCACCACCATGCCTGGCTCAAATCTTTAATATTTTACACTTAAATTTTCAAATGGCTGTATTAGCATTTGTCTTACTTTTATCATTGCTGAGACAAAATACCTGACACCCAAAGGAGGAAAGGTTTATTATAGCTCACAGTTTGTAGTTCATAGTTGGCTGGCTCTAAGGTAGGGTGGCGTGGCAGAGGGAGGTTGTAGAGGAGAAACAATTCATGGCAGGCAAAGGTAACAAAATGCCAAAGAAGCAGCAAGTGACAAGCAGCAGCCCTCTTCCTGCCCATTATGTCTTATCCAGGCTACCTACCATTAAGGCAGGTAGCACTTACACACAGCATGGGTCAGCCTAACCCTAGCATTGCACTATGAATCAATTCCAGCTTCACACCCTTGATCCCAGCATCACATACTCTAGCCACCTCCAAGCCCCACCTGTGATCACGTGAGGCTGGGGGGCCATCTAGACTCAAGCTATAATAGCATTGAAACATCTTTGTGTCATTGCTTCTATTCAAGGAATCATTTCCAAAAAGAGCACTTCACTTCTTCTAATGACTTGATAATACAGAAAATATTAAAAAGCATTTTTATGTGCATTGGTATTTTGATTTTCATTGTTTACTTTGTCAGGCCATTATACTTTTCCTTTGACTTTTCTTAGATATACTTAATTTTTAGCAATATTTATTACAGATGTTTAGAAGAAAAATTTGAAAAAGAAATAACTTTATAAACAATTCACAGATGCATGCTATTCCCCTGCGGTCCTCCTGGGTGATGACCTGTGCATATGCTCCTTCTGGTAACTATGTTGCTTGTGGCGGCTTGGACAACATCTGCTCTATATATAACTTGAAGACTAGAGAGGGGAACGTGAGGGTGAGCCGGGAGTTGCCTGGTCATACGGGTGAGTCTCAAGAAGTACCATTCTTCCCTGCTTAGCCTTACTTGATCCCTAGAATGTGCTAATTGAGGGTTTGTGTCTAATCGTGCTCAGTTGGCTAATGGATGAGTGGTAATAAAAAAGCAGAAATTACCATGAATTAGGAAAACACTAACTTGTAAATACTGACCATAATTTTGGTGGCTCCTCCCTAGGTAACTTAGATGACAGATGTCTTGGTCACTCTGACACTATCAGAGTACCTAGTGTTGTTGACAGATTAAGTGCCTCATAAGTGTTGACAAAATTTAGTTGCAGACAGCATAGAGTTAGAATAATTTAAATCAGAACTATAGATCTTGTAAACTCTTGTCCAGATCTGTTTTTACAAATAATATAGTAATTGAGTTATTTGATCAATGATAACCTAAAATTTGCTACTCTCTATGCTGTAGGCTATTTGTCCTGCTGTCGATTTTTAGATGACAGCCAAATTGTTACAAGTTCAGGAGATACAACCTGGTAAGTTTATTCAGAAGACAATTGCCTTGGGGTTGAGGATGTCAGTAGGTACTACGAGATAATGGTCATTAAGTATTTTTGCTTGCTTTTAATTTATAGTGCTTTGTGGGACATTGAAACCGCCCAGCAAACCACCACATTCACTGGGCATTCTGGAGATGTGATGAGTCTCTCTCTTAGTCCTGACATGCGGACTTTTGTTTCTGGTGCTTGTGACGCCTCTTCCAAGCTATGGGACATTCGAGATGGGATGTGCAGACAGTCCTTCACAGGCCATGTCTCCGACATTAATGCTGTCAGTGTAAGTAAATGGCATTTTAAAGAAAATTCATTCTGTATGTAAAGTTTGACTGGGAATCAGACTAAGGACCTTGCGCTTGTGAGGCAGGCGGCGGAACCACTGAGCTAAATCCCTAGCCAAAAAGTGTTGAATTTTTTTTGCATGATTTTAACAGAATTTATTTCAAGGACCCTTACAGTATGTGCTCTATATAACATTGAATGCCTAAATAATAAGGGTTTGAGAAAAAGGTTTATTATGTAGCTCTCTGCCAGTGATGGTAAACCTTTTAAAGTTTTGAATGATTCCAACAGCCTACTGCAGCACATATGCCAAGGTTCGCCACCACTGCTAGAACTTTATTTATAAATGAAATACAGGGGCTGGGGATTTAGCTCAGCAGTTTGGTGGCCTGCCTCGCAAGCACAAGGACCTGAGCTCGATCCCCAGTACCACAAAAAAAATAAATAAATAAAATAAATAATATATGAAATACAGGTTTTATTTCCAAAATTGGCTGGATAGGTCAATCCTGGAGCAAATAGGCAGCTCGTGGATGTGCACAGCAGTATGTTTAGATGAGAAAAAAGTCTGAATCTGAAATTAGCTCAATCTAGGATCAGATATTAGTTCTGCCATTTAGCAGCTGTGTGAGACTAAGCTGCTGAACTTTCCTAGTCTCAGATTCCTCAGTTTTTAAAATGGATAAAACCACCTGCTTCAAAGAATGGTGTGGAGACTAAATGAAATTATGTGTTATATGCTTAGTAAATGGTATAAATTATTTGAGCTACTTCATATTTTAAAAACCCAGATAACTGCAAGTAAATTTTTCCAGATAAAAGTAGTATGTAAGAAGATGAATGATGTTTCTTAGTTGGGTAAAGTACACTTAAAAATAGTTAACATTGTGCTGGGCGTGGTGGCTCATGCTTATAATACTAGCACTTGGGAGGCTGAGGTAGGAGGAGCATTGAAAGTTCAAGGCCAGCCTGGGCCACACAGTGAGTTCAAGACCAACCTGAAGTAATGCTTATATGCTGTCTCATTAAATAAACAAACAAAAAGATACATACACACATATATATATATTTTTTTTTAACAGTGACATTTTTAATGACAAAATGATCCTTTTAGCAATAATGGAAATTCAAACTAAAGCACAGATATACAGGACAAACTTTCCTTACAAAATAAGAGAAAATGGTAAGATACCTTAGCTTGAGGAGGTGAGAGAAATTAGTCCTACTCTTAACAAAGGAGAAGAAGAAAAATAGTTGAAGACTCCAGCTTGAGTGGTTCAGTGAAGGGGACCAGACAGGCCACACACATAGGAGAAGGCCAGCTCTGAGGATTAGAGGTGGTGGCCTGGGGTCTATTGAGCACTGTCCCAGTCCTGGTTTCCAGCTCCAGAATCCTCTCAGCTTGAAGGGTGCTTCTGTTCCCCGGAAGTGTCTGTGTGTGGTGGGCTTGGCCATGGGGAGCTCCACTGTTCCTGGCATCCCTGTGATCACAGGGTGAGGAGAAAGGCACAGTTGGATTTCTCTGTAAACCTCTTATCTTGAGGTCCGTGGTCTTGAAGGGAGATGAAAGCATGTAAATTCAGGGATAAGCAACTTTGTTTTGACAACCTTTATTTTATTTATTTATTTTTTTGTACCGGGATCGAACTCAACCTTGCACTTGGTGAGGCCTGTGGTGGTGCCATTGAGCTAAATCCCTGGCCCTGTTTTGACAACTTTTAGATAAACATTCCCTAAATGATCCAAATACCCATATGTAGAGCTGAGAAAGGCTTTGACCAAAGACTTACAGTACCAAAGGATATAAAATGAAGGTCAAGCCTTATTCTGCCTTTAGTTATCTATTGGACATTTGTAGGCCCAAGTGAAGAGTCCTAGTTTTTAGGGGAAAAAAACTTTTTTTTTTTTTTTGAGACAGGGTCTCACTATATGTAGCTGAGACTGACCTGGAACTCACCATGTAGCCCAGGCTGGTCTTGAACTCACAGCAATCCTTCTGCCTCAGCCTCCCGAGTGTTGGGATTACAGGTGTGCACCACCACCAAACATTTTTAAGTCCATAACTGCCTTAGGAGACAAACACAAGTACACTTTTAATTAGTAAGGGGTTCAGGGCCCAGGATTCTGCCTGTCCCCCATCCCTGCAGTCTCTGTGTCATAACCGTGTTACAGTGATGTTTATCAAGCACATTGAGAAACTATAACTAGTTTAAAATACCTCAGGAAAAGTCTGGTGTGGTAGCACACACCTGTAGTCCTAGCACTCAGGGAGTCTGTGGCAGGAGCATCACTACAAATTTGAGGCTACACTGGGCTGCATAGTGGCTTAAAGGCCAACCTGAACTACATAGCAAGACCCACTCTCAAAAAAATCAAAAACCAAAACCAAAACATAGCAAAAATCTCAAAAATATTTTAGCAAACTAAATCCATCCAGGAGCCAAAGTAAAAACACACCATCATCAAGGAAGATTAGTTCTAGAAGTGTGAGGATTTACCATTAGGAAATCTGTTAATGAGGTTTACCACATCAGTTTATCAGTGTTTCAGATACTAAAAAGGCAGTACATAAAAAGCAAATATCCATTTCTTTTGTTTTAAAAAATGATGATTTTTAATCCAGGAGTGGTGGTGCATGCCTGTAGTCCCAGAATTCGAGAAGTTGGGGCAGGAGGATCATTGCATGTTCTGTTCCAGCCTGGCCTACATACCATCAGTGAGTTCAGAACCAGCCTAAACTAGAATAGCAATATCCTGTCTCAAAAAGAAAAGTCAGTGTTACGCACAACTATGTAGAATCTATTTATGTCTGAAGTATTTCCCTTGAGTGTTTTATAATTTGTTTGAATATATTACAAACATGTATTTCCCCTAGTTCTGACAGCCATCTCAGACTCCCAGGCAATCAAAACCAGTTAATGGTACTGGTAAGGTAAATATCTATACTATGCCATCTCAACCAGGAAGATTTTGAATTTAACAGAGTGAGCTGTTAAGTGATTTTAGTAAGATAGGCATAAGTGGGGACCTCCCTGGGCAAAGTGGGATATATGGTCATCTCTTGAACAGAGTATTCAGAGTATTTGCTTACTACACCCCACACTAAAGAAAGATTTACTGAATTGGGTGTTTTGCTCTGTGTTGTAGGCTTTTCTGTTTTCTTCTGTAATAGAGAACAGGCTCCGTTTATGCTGCCCATAAAATGGGTGCAAATGGTGTAGTGTTGCATTTCCTGCAAAGGAGCACAGAGAGTATTTTGTTGGATGTTAAAATGGAAGAAAGTGGTCAGGAACACTCCAGTGGGCACTTCCGGTGGGGTGAAGTCTTTATGAAGAAGGACCTTCTCCAAGTTCACGGTCAACCAGGATGATAGATGATGGCATGCTTGGTGGGTAGAAGGAAAAAATCATGGCAGCGACTTACTTCATAAGCCTTCTGGGAATTTGAAAAGGAAAAGCATTTCCTCATTGGGTATGGAAGAATCATCTCCACTGGGAGCCAGGCTTTAACCATCTTAAAGCGCATTAAAAAGTATTTGTATTTCCAAGAGCCTGTTAACACATCGCCTGCCCACAGTAGCACCCTGACTGTAGAACTTTTATCTATTTATTTATTTTGGTACTGGGAATTGAACTGGGGACTTTGTGCTTGTGAGGCAGGCAGGGGCACCATTGAGCTAAATCCCCAGCCCTTGTAGAACTTCTTAATGAGATACAATGGAGGCATTCTCCTTACAGAGAATAACAGTACAGTAATACCAATTGTCACCTTATTTATTTAGTTTGTTTGAGACATGGTCTCACTGTGTGATTCAGGCTGGCTAAAATTACTAGTGATCCTCCTGCATCAGCCTCTTGAGTTCGGGGATTATAGGTGTTAACCACCATGAGCAACATAACTATGTAAATCCATCTGAAACCATCAGTCTGTATAATTAGATCCAAAATTGACATAACAGTTACATTAGAATGTAGAAAAAAATTATTTTAAATTCCGTGTTCAGTGGGCTGGGAATTTAGCTCAGTGGTTCCATTGCCTGCCTCACAAGCGGAAGGTCCCGAGTTCAGTCCCCGGTACCCCCCCAAAATTATATGCTGTTATCTAGAAATCACAAGCAAAAGTTCAGTGTATTTTCTGGATTTGTTAGAGTATAGGAAGAAAATCCTATTACAAGTAGCAACAATAATTATAAATGTATCAAAAGTTGTTTATATCTTTATGAAGAAAATCACAAAAGTTTACAGGTGAAGAATACTTAGGTTCTTTTTGTTTTTTGAGATGGGATCTTGCTAATATAGTCCAGACTAGCCTCAAAGTCATGATCCTCTGTCTTTTCTGAGATGACAGCATGTGCTACCACCTACATGGCAATATTTAGTTTTAACAAGTGGAAATACATTTCACTGACTGACTATCCTCCAAACTTATTTTAAAACTCTAGGGCTGGGTGGGGGGGTGGCTCAGTGTGGAGTGTTTGCCAACATGTGTGAGGCCCTGAATTCAATTCCCAGCACAGAGAACTGAAAAAAGAAAAATACTGGGTTTGGAAAGCCGAGGCAGGAGGATAAAGTTCAAAGATAGTTTGGGTAGCACAGCAAGGCCCTGTCTCAAAATGAAAAAAAATATTTTGTAAAAATCATCAGTGCCCTGCAGTCACTCACACGGTAAGCAGAGTTGGAATTCTGTTAAAAAGCCTCACACCAGAGTTTAGTAACACCATGTAAGCCTAAGTGTTTTGTGGGCATCTGTGCAATATGTCTTTGCTGCTTTTCTTCGCAGTTTTTCCCAAATGGATATGCCTTTGCCACTGGCTCCGATGATGCTACTTGCCGGCTCTTTGACCTTCGTGCAGACCAAGAGTTGTTACTGTATTCTCATGACAACATAATCTGTGGGATCACTTCAGTAGCTTTCTCAAAAAGTGGGCGTCTCCTGCTAGCTGGTTATGATGATTTCAATTGCAATGTGTGGGACACGCTGAAAGGAGATCGTGCAGGTTAGTAAGTCTGCACGCACTTCTGATTGGCGGGAGCAAGGGTGTTCTGTGGGTCATTTTCTGGGTTCCGTGGACATCCAGGCACTGTGGAAAATGGTTAACCTGGAGGTGCTTATGAGGGTTCCTGTCCTTACCCTTTCAGCGCAGTTACAATCCTTGGTGTGTATTTTTATTTTTGTTTTCTGAAGAGTGAGTAAATTCCAGTAAATTTGGGTATAAAGATAAATGAGTACTACTCAGTATGGTCCTTTTGTAAATCATGCTTTTCTTACAACCATATAGGGAATGTTGTAGCTGCTGTGGGTTGCTTTTCTTCAGAACAGATCTTGGAAGGGACAGGACACAGATCTGTTGTCTTCCCTCAGCCTCATCCTTAGTTCTCCCCTGCAGCTTCCAAAGTATTACGGTAGTGTGGGTGGGGGATAAAATAAGAAAAAAAAAAAATATATATATATATATAAAATTAGAATACACATAACTGAAATAAGAAAAAATATATATATAAAATTAGAATACACATAACTGAGGACTGTGTTTACAGAGTGATTTTTAATTTTTTAAAAATCAAACTTAAAAAACTGTATTTAAGGAATCAAATGGTTTTATATACTTTGTTACCTTTAAAGATGTATAAATATTAGTATGTTTGCAGCACATAAGGATTACATTCATTGCTGGGCCTTAGTACAAGTACATACATATGGTAATTCTTTTTACTACCCCTTCTCCTCCCTCCATTTCCTGGTCCCCTTCCCATCTGAGAACGATCTGTCTTCCTTGTTTCCTATTATCTTTTATTTTGCTCCAGTTTCTCCTATGAGAAACCATACAATATTTAAGCTTGTGTGCCTGATATACTTCATTTAACACTGTGGTATGGAGGGGCATCCACTTTCCTACACGACTCATTTATCCTCCTTTATAGTAGAGTAATACTCCACTGTGTGTGAATACCTCATTTTCTTTATCCATTCATCTGATAGACAGACATATGGACAGATATAGCTGTTTTGAGTTGAGTTGTGCTGCTATAAACATGGATATGCATATATGTAATATGATGTCTTTAACTCTTTCAGGAAGGCACCTAGAAGGGGAATAGCTGGGTCATATGTAAAAAAAATGTATTTTTTTGTTCTTGAGGAATCTCCATACTGATTTTCATTTGTTACCTTTGACCCCATCCGTATTTTCTACTTCTCAAAGTAGCATTTTTTTTTTCGGTACCGGAGATTGAACTCGGGTTCTTGTGCTTGCAAAGCAGGCCACCGAACCGCTGAGCTAAATCCCTGGCCCTCAAAGTAGCAATTTTAATCTTTTTAAATTATTTACTTTCAGTTCAGAGAATTGGCTTAGTGGTTCCTCTGCCTCCCTTGCAAACACAAGAGCCCAAGTTCGATCCCCGTTACCACACACACACACACACACACACACACACGCACAAAAATTTATTTACTTTCATCTCAAATAAAATGCCCGATTGCTGGTATTTGATTTTTGTTATTTCTTTTGGGCTTTATCCCTTGACCCATTATAGATGACAAGGGTTTGACGTTAATGTCCCTGCTTTACACAGCCACATCTCTCCTGTTCTCCAGTTTTTCCCATGTAATAAGTTTTGCTTACATTCAGTAGGCTACAAGAGCAATGATCAGTGTTTATATAATTATGCTTTTAAAAGTACTACTGAGCAATATGTATTATACTTCTTTTGCTATAGATTTTTTTTGTATTCTCTAGAGTTAATTTTTTGGTTTATATTCTTAACTCTACATACTTACTAAGAACCCTCAGGCTTTCTGCCAGTTTTGTCTTTGAATCAATCCATTTTTATCAGTTGTGCTGGATAGTAAATGAACCTTTTTTTCCCCCTTGTGGTGTTAGGGATTGAACCCAAGGCTGTGTGCTGCTAGGCACAAATGTTCCACCCCTGACCTATACCCTAGCCTTTTAAAAGATGTTTTTTGTTTTTGAGACTTTTTGTCTTGCTGTGTAGTTCAGGGTGGCCTTGAATGCAGTGTCACCCAGGTTGGTCTCAAACTCGTAGCAATCCCCCTCCCAAGTGCAGGGATTACGAACATGTGCCACCACACCTGGCTGGAACTCATTTCTAAGAACCATTTTCAAGTTGAGTATGGTTGTGCACTTATAATCCTAGCACTAGAAGCTAAAGTGGGAGAACTGCTCTGAGTCTGAGGCTGGCCTGGGCCACATAGCAAGTCTACCTCACCACACAACCACCCTCCGCCAAAAGAGTGCTTCTAGATATACATACTTGTTCAATTCTAAAATTACAGGTGTTAACTTGGTTTTTTGTTTTGTTTTTAAAGGTGTCCTTGCTGGTCATGACAACCGTGTAAGCTGTTTAGGTGTAACTGATGATGGCATGGCTGTGGCAACAGGCTCCTGGGACAGTTTTCTTAGAATCTGGAATTAACAATGCCATGTTTTTGGTTTTTTTTTTTTTTCTGTTCTCCATTGATATCTGGAGAAATCAATGCTACAGCCTATAGCTGTGAAAACAAATTCTACCTTGTATTTGCAGGTGAAGATTTTTATTACTATATTAAATACAAAAAGCTTTCAGTAAACTACAAAAAAAAAGTGGAAGGAAAAACAAGGCAGGGTGCCTGATGAGATCAAAAGGACCAGGGTTATTTGTTAATTTGAAGAGTCAGTTTAATTTAACCTTGATAAATTTTTGCTTTTTTTTTAAAAGCAAGAATATACATTTTATAGCAGCTGCCCATGGTGTTTTACTTTTTGTTAAGAACTACATTTTAAATTTTGTATATACAAGAAATGTCTTTGAGTTATATAATGCAAGAATCAGGCCTCATAGTAAATGGAAGTGATAGGACGTATGTGCTACATTTAAGGGGGTCCACTTGAATTCTAACCAACCACTTAATGTTTATGAGTACTGTCAACATGGTGGTACTCGCCTATAATCCCAGCATTCAAGAGACTGAGGTAGGTTACTGTGAATTCGAGGCCAGCCTAGGATCTATAGTGAACTACATACCAAGACCCTGTCTCCAGAAAACTAATTAATAATGTTGATAGGTGAGGTACCTCTGAAAAAAGTTGTTAGTTTCTTGTGCTTCCTTTCCCATATCATTCTACACAAGTGATCATTTTCAGTCCTAACGCAAACGCCAGACAATAAAGATTACACTCTGATGTTTTGGACATACCTAGGAAATTTCATTAGAATTTATTACATTAATAAAATTTAAGTACCAGCATATATATAATTCTTGGCACTTTAAAAGCCTGGTCATGATCAGTCAACACTTTTGTGTACTCTAAACCACTGGAGAGGTTTTTAGAGTACACTTATAGTTTAGAAGTTCAATAAACACCTAGGTTTTCTCTCCATCCATCTGAAGAATCTTACCTAGTGTTCTCTACTAGTAACATCTAGACAGGAAACACTGGGACAGGAGTAACATTTTTGAGAAATATAAAAATTGACCATTTGCTAGCAATGGTTTGTTATCCGGTTCTAACAAGGTAGCTTTATGAATTTTGTGTAATATAAAATTAATGGTGGCACACGCTTGTAATCCCAGAAATTGGAAGCTGAGGCAGGATTGCTGTGAGTTCAGTGCCAGCCTGGGCTATGTAGGTGAGTTCAAGGCCAACCTGAACTACACAAAAACCCTGAATTTATTTAAACTATCCAGCCCGCACCTTTCCTAAAATGAAACATTTAAGCTTTTTGCTTGCTTGTAATAATTGGTTTCTATGTGGTTTTGCTTCACAAAATATCTAAATCTCAGTGATGCAACTTTAAAGCCAAATTCCTAAAGCAGTTTTCAAAGGAGCCAGGAATATACCAAGACATCCTTCCACTATAATATCAACTATTAGTAGAATGTTCCCACTCCTCAATTCAAACAAAGATACGTTTCCTCTCTGGTTTTCTCTCTCCTAGAAAAATGTAAGTGACTGACAGACTACTTAAGTCTTGCTTGATGTGAAGTCATATGTCATTCTGATATATAGAAATGCGTTGTTTTGTAACTTAGTAAACTGTTATTATTCAGATAGTTAACTTGATCACCTGTAATCCTAAGATAAATTTTACTTATTTCATCTTTATATTGTACATATGCTGAGATTGTGCATCAACTATAGTGAAAGCAGTATTAATTAAGGTCAGTTGATACTAGAAATAGAATAAAATGGATAGGGGCAATGTAGGACCAAAACAGAATTCTGTAGATGTTAGGTATAAATGTGTATTTGTCTTGTGGTTAGGAGTTCTGTGAACTGTTTGCTATTAATGTGTATTTGTGAACTATTTATATCACTTCATAAAGAGCAGCTCTTTGAAATAGGGCACATTTAAAAAGAAAATATTCATTTCCAAAATATGGGGTTCAGCAATTCATCCCAAATTCCAGTTCAAGACAGCATTTCTGTTGTGTCAATAACCATAGACACACACACACATTTTATACATATATGTAGACAGTATCTCGTTACTGTAATATAGAAAGGCACAAAACAAGACTAGAATTCAATTGTCTTAACATTTTAAATGACATTTTGTTATTAAAGTTTGGAGGAATTTAAAGTGATTCCTATAATATGTACTAGACAACCAAAAAGTAACCACTGTTTAATATGGTAGCTAATTGTACCAAGGACCAATTGGTGGCAAAGTATTTTCACTACTGCAGTAATTAAACTTTCTCTTCTACTAATAGGGATTCCAGTTGCCAAGTTTATTTACTTACAGTTTGAGTTCTGCTGATTGTCTAATTCTGTTGTTGCTCATAAGATTTCCTGAAATCAATGAGCATATAATTTTTTTTTTTCGGTACTGAGGATGAAACTCAGGACTTTGTGCTTGCCAGGCAGGTACGGCACCACTGAGCTACATCCCCAGCTCATTGAGTGTATAATTTGTATCCACAATGTGTAGTTTTGATTTTAAGATTTTCAAGATTTAAAAATATGACCAGATTCAAAGAATTTGTATCACGAGGAACATTAGTTTTCTTGTGCCTCTTAATTTTTCTTTACATTTTAACATAGGCTGGGGCTGTAGCTCGGTAGTATAGCACTTGCCAAACAAGTGCAAGGCCCTGGGTTAGGTCCCCAGCACCATGAAACAAAAACATTTAAACATAATGTACCTCAGAAGATTCTATGTCATGTCAAAAATGAGTACATTTTGAGATCTGTTTTTTTTGGAAATAGGGTATTGCCATATTGCCCAGGCTGGCCAGACAATCCTGCTTTAGCCTCCCGAGTTGGGAACTATGGGCATGAGCCACCACACACTGCTCTGGCAAGAGAATTTTAAAGGCATATGTTCTTTTCTGAAACAAGATCACCACATGGCTTGTTTAATCATCCCACTCTGCTTTCCAAAGCAGGTCCTGCGGTCAGCAGGCCTATCTCCTCCGCTTTGATAGGTCTCATTTCCCCGAAAACATTCAGGGAAACTTATGATTTGATGTGAATGCTGGTAGAATCAAACTTAAGTTCTCTTCCTAGCTCAGAATTTCAGTCGACACACCAGATTGGATTCCAGAGTCATAGAGGCAAAGATTTTGGCTCAGTATGTCAACAGCAAGAAAAGCTGGTAAGCAGTTTTAGACTTACACAAGCCAATGAACACAACTAGTCTTGGGATAATGGTCACAGAGCTTCTGGAGTATGTTAAGGAAGTTTAATCTGAGAGTAATGACACTGACTTTTCTCCAGGCAACAAAATAAATTTTTATTGCTGAAAAATATTGTGGCAGTTATATAACCAGCAACCAGCCTCTTCTAACACTAGTGATGTCTTAAATACTTAAGACTGTTATAAAAGTGAAAATGCTCAGGACAATTTATGATTTGATGTGAATGTCAGATTTTAAATTATAACCTATAATACTTGATGCTTATGGTTGGTTAGTTTAACTTAGAAATAAATAAACAATCCCTAAATGGGCCTGTCATTTTAGGGATGAATGTTTCAAGAATCTTTAGGGTGAGTCAGCTTTTAAAAAACACTTAAGAACTCTATTCACCTCCTTTCCTTTCCCTTTGTAAAGTGATTCTCGTTACCATTTTTAAAAGCACCTTTTTTTTTTCTTTTTTTTTTTTGTACCAATGATGGAACTCAGGACCTGGTGCTTGCCAGGCAGACGCGGCACCACTGAGCTGCATCCCCAGCCTTTTAAATTTTTGTTTACCTCATCTTTTTTATGAGAAAGAGCGGCACAATAAATGAGACAAATTGGATAAGCCGAATTTAGATTTACTAGTTTTGTTCATGCGATGCCTCTAATATTAGTGCTGTTTTTTAAGGGTTACAATAGGCATGCAATAAAATGGTTTGTTGAACATCTAAGCTATAGCATTTTTGCTTCAAAAATTTATTAATCAGATTGATGGTGCACCTTATATTTAGCCAAGTTTTTTGCATGTTGATAAAATTTCCTAAAAGAATTTTTTTCTTAAAATCCAATGACTGGTTTTGTAAAATATAATATAGTGCAGCATTATGGAAAAAAATCTATTGTTTCAACTGATATTAAATGTACTCAAAACTGACATGATACAGTGTTTTTTAAGTTAGTGATGCACACGGTAGAGTATTTCAAGCTTTTTCTGTCTTTTACACAATGGTGCTCTATCCAATTGTTTTCTTTTCAAAAAAGGCATCTGAACATCTTTTCTTATCCAAAGGCACCCATAGCTAAGTGTCTTTAAAACTGGTTAAAATATTTTCCTGTTAAGGCATTTGAAAACGTTTCTGTTCACTTAGTTCCTACTTGTGACCAGTGACTATGGATGTCAGTACTCTGATTGTGGAAAAAGTAAACATGCTAGATTAAAGCCTCTTATATGAGCTTTAAACTTTATATGGACTTGTGCCATGATTTAACAGTATTCTTGGATCTTTTACAGTGATTCCTTTATTTGTATAGTTGCTTTGTGAAATATGTGAATTGATAATTGTAATCAATAAAGTGCTTTTAACCAGAGTTCCTGTAGCATGCTTCAATAAGGATTTTTTTTTTAAATTAAGTCCTAGAACTAAACTCTTAATCCAGTACTTCATACTCAACCCTTATTCCTTTAAACAGTGGAGATTTTTTTTCCATGAAAAATAAATGAGTTGCAAGAGCAGAGACTGAAGTGCTACTACTTTAGCACTACACACTTCTTAGCTTATTGTTAATAGGCCACAGATTTTCATTCAAAAGCAAATGACCTGGGCCAGGGAATATAGTGACCCCAGGCATGTAGCTCAGTGTTGCTGCACCTGTCTGGCAAGCACAAGTTCCTGAGTTTGATTTCCCGGTTCCAAAAGAAAATGAAAGGGGGGAAAAGGGTTGGGGAGAAGGAGGGGAAACAAAAGCAAATGACCTCTTCCCCGGTAGCTCCTTTAGGGTAATCTAGTTCCCTTTTAATTCTTAATAACCAATTCTTGCTTATAATATTGATTTAAAAGTTTTTAAGAAACAGATGTGATATTCTGTCTGGGGAAAGAATAGTTGTTAAGTACCTGTGAAATGCGTATCTAATGTAGAGAAAAACTTCTCAGCACATGATGGTCTACAGCACATTTCTTACCCTTAAATAAACTATGGTAAATGCAGTCAAAGTGCCAGTTAACTCGAGATTGTCTGTATGCCTACTATATATACAGGTGACTAAGAGTGAAGGGTCAGAACTCACTAAATGCTAGCATAAATGCCACATTCATAAACTATCTGGCAAATAAGTTATATATTAATAATGTTTTATAAAAACTTTTAAGATTATACAGTTTATAAATAATCCTGCAGACACACATAGTAAATAACCAAGTGTACGTGTAATAACTTTGAATTACATCAGTCATAATTATGTAATTTCTGTATAAGTCATAGACCTACCTATAGGCGCACTTATGTCTGGGTAGAAGAGACACTTCCCATTATGTTAATGTTCTATTCCCAACATCCACACATTTTCAAACTTGATCAGGTGGGACTGCATTCAAACTAGAGATAGAAAACTTACCAGTTATTATACCAGAGGACCGGGGATCTATTAGCTCAGTGATACTGTGCCTACCAGGCAAGGGCAAGGTCCTGAATTCAATCCCTGGTACCAAAAAAAAAAAAAAAAAAAAGCCAGGCCTGAAACATGGAGTCTTTGATTCCTTAGGTCTGGATAGAGACCTGAGAACCTGCATTTCTTACAGGTTCAAAAGTGATGGTGAGGCAGGGGATTTAGCTTGGTTCTGCTGCCTGCCTCAAGCAGAAGATTCAGAGTTTGATCCCCAATACAAGAAAGTGATGGTGATAATTCAGGGATCAAACTTCAAGAATCATTCTACTATACTGAGGTGATAACCAAAGCTCAAGTACTTTCACATAACTTGTAACTGAAATTGATGTGGTATCCAGTGTCAGACACTAGGTTTTCGTGTTGTCACCTAACTCTTACCAATGGCCTGTCCCAGTTTTGGCTTATATATATCAACTAAAAGCTAAAAATTAAGTCATTTGTATTTACATTTGAATACTGCACCCAAATACCCGATTTGCATAAAAATATTTTTTAAAAGCTCCTATGGCCCAAATAATGTTATTTTCTCCTTCAACTATCTTGAAAAGTAAAGGTACACACCTTGGCTATGAAAAAGCCAAGTAGCATTCAGGAGCCTTAAAGGACAGAAAAGGAAGCACTATAAGCAAAAAGGTCTGAAGTTTGTGTGTCCCTTGGCCAAATACGTTTTGTCCCTCGGGGTTGTGCATTTTAATAAGCATCTAGGTGATACTGATCTGGTGATCCTTTATTTTTTATAACAAGGTTCTAGAATGATGTCATGTTTACTAATTCCATATACACTAATATAGGAGACATGATACTTGAACCCATCAACATTTCACTAAGTATAGTAATTTTTAAAGAAGCCTGGGCAAATTTATAAAATCAAAAGTAAAAGCCTCTCATGGGAGACAATCCAGCAGGATCTTAAGCAAGTGCCTACTGCCAAAGAGCTTTTAAACCCTGTTATCACCCAAATTCAGGCCTGTATCTTTGGCTGTTTTTATCATTTCAAACTATTCTTCAGAGAAAAGCTTTCCTTACTGGACTTAAAAACTTCCAAGCTGAAAATGTTTCTTAAAAAACAGATTGGGAAACTATTTTAACTCAGATACTTTTCTAAGTATATTAACAAACCTTTATACTGTTTGATGTCAGTTTAAAAGAAGGGGTAAAAACTGTATTTATTAGTGGTTTACAGACTGCCACAATGGCTGAGAGATTAAGTTGCATAAATAATACACTCAAGAACATTCCACAATCCTGGTTGGTTAGAGCAATGCGGCTTATAAAACAAAACAAAAAAACTGACTATTCCCATTAAAGAGGGCATCAAAAACTAGTTTTGAGAAAAAAGACAAAAGGATCACTTCCAACTCCTGGATGCCAGGAAGCACCGTTTTTCAGAATCAGAAATAAAGCAAGCCCTAATGAAGAGCTCAAGGACCCACCCCTCAGGGGTCACATAGTTGGTTCTATTGCTTTTAACTAATTCATTATTAACAAATTTTGTCACTTTTAAACCCGAAATTAAAACTAAGGACCTACCATAACACTCTTCAGAAACATAAACGCCCTGGATAGATAATTACCAGAATCTACACAGGGATTTGCTATTTAGTAGTTAGTGTAATTCATACTGAAGTCATTTCATAAAAATAACAACTGTCCTCCCCATCTTCCAAGTTCCGTTTCCTCCTATCATGGTCACCAAAGCAATCTCTACTGTTGAGATTCTTCATTGCTTTAATGCAGAAACTGCTTAGTAAAATTCTCCAGCTCATTTTCAAGTTGAACGGCTTTATTTCTAATTTTAAAAGAAAAGAATAAAATACCAATCATCATAAAAGTCAATGACAAAAAAATCTCATTTTGTTTCTACATACATACAGTTTTGTCACATTAAATATACATATGTTATGAACACCACTGGACTTCAGGCAACTTTCCTGGGGCATTAGGCAAGTTAACTAATACAAATGGTTAAGCCTAATCTTGTAACCATGGACATTCAAACACAGCCATACTCAGCTTAATGACTAGATACCTTCTAAGAGTTACTCATATATCACTGGTTGATTTCATTGTAATGTGGTCATCATAGCACACACACACAAACCTCTATGTTACAACTGACAACACACCTAGGTGATCATGATATAGCCCAATGCTACAAGGTTAAAAACTTGTACAGCAATCTACTGTACTGAATACACAATAACAATATTATTATAACAATAAGTATTTGTATAAGCAAACATAAATGTGTTACACTATGATCTTACGATGGCTAATAAGTGATAGGAATTCTTCACCTTCATCCTAATACTATGGGGCCACCAGCATATATGCAGTTCATCAGTGACCAAAGCATTACATGGTCCAAAGACAGTTCCTCCAATTTGAAAATACTGGCTACTGCTGGGTATGGACACATGTTTGTAATATTCCCAACACTTGGAATGCTGAGGCAGGAGGATCGCCATGAGTTCAAGGCCAGCCGTGGCTACACAGTGAATTCAAGGCCAGCCTGAACTAAATAGCAAGGCCCTGTCTCAAAAAATAAACAAATAAAAATAAAATAATGGTTACTAAGCTGCCCTTACACAGAACATTTTATGTAGTATGTGCCTTGAAAACAAGTGTTTAGATGGTGCCAAATGATTTTCCCAGACATGCCAATAGGTCAGCCAATGGGTAAGAAACCTGAAAGAACATCCAAGTATAGAATTTTTTTATGATACTTGCACTCATGTACCCAAAAGCAAATTTTATTAAATCTTAAAAGAATCCATAAAAATCACATTAACCAGGAAATCCACATTTTTCCAGAAAGCTTGTTTACTTTTGTTGTTTCAAATTTAAGCACACCCAATAGTCCCAAGTGAGAACAGAAGTTACATTCTTCGACATAAACTAAATTACGGAATTTCTGAGGGGACTAATTTAGCCTAAAAGAGTTAAATTTAGATCTATAAAATTCTTTGAATTCATTCTCTTGTTAAGATAAGTTTTCACTGAAACTGTAAAACAATTAAATATGAAAGATCATAATTTAAACAACTAGTTTTCTAATATAAATTCATTAGTAATTTTACATAATTATATTTAATAAGACCAGTAAATGTTCACATTATTGAGAAAAAAAGGTTTTAAGTACCTTAAAAGCTTTGAATTGTTTTGTATTTTTTCCAATTGATCTATTTCTTTGGACAATCTAGCAATTTCTTCTTCCAGATGCCTTTGAGTAATATCAACTTGTTGGCACAGGCGAGCAAAAGTGGTAGCCATTTCCCTGAAAAAGAAAAAAAAAAGTCGTGAATGCCTTCTAAAATGAGTAACTTCAATGTAAAGCTTTTATAAAAAGAAAATTTTTGAAAAAAAATCTACATGCTAGGGAATTATTCCAATTTTAGTATACGTGCTGCTGAAGTGAGCACAATATGCTAAAGAATCAAAGAATACTGCTAAGAATGATATGAGGGAGGCTATGGCACTGGTAAACTGAATATAACTATAAGCCTAATTTCATCTTCCTCAAAAGGCAGTATTACATCTGTTAGGTGGCTGTGAATACAGGTACAGTAAAATATGAAAAGGCAGAGGGTATCTTTCTTCATAAGCACAAAAAATTTTACTCTTCCCTAGCCCATTAAAAACATGAAGTTTTTAAAAATCTAAGAACTTTTGTGAAGTGGGCAAAAATACTTTAAATCACAGCCAGATGTTATCATGCGTTATATCTAACTTAAGTGCTACTTAACATACTGGCCTTAGCAAACACAATGCTTGTATTTTTACAGAGGAGCATATCTGGGACATGCAACCTGCTAGAACACAGTGCACTGACTTAGTAATTTCTCTATACACTGTTTTGTGCATCTTCATCTTTGCTGTGCTTTTTTTACTCTCCAGTTACTTTACTTCACCAAACCCCAATGTTACACAAGTACAGCATGTTTCATTCTTTTTATTAAATATTCAATTAACATTTACCTACTATATTTTAAATGAGTAATTATTGAAAACTGCCTCCATGAGAATGCAATTTTTGAAGATAGGATCAAGTTATTACTTTTTATTTCCCATAATTATCACATGACAAGCAATTAGTAAACGTCTGATGATAAAAAGAATAGAAAGCTACATTAATTTGCTTTTATTTATATGAATCTCAACTTATTTCTTTTGAAGATCCAGGTAGGTATCTTCATTAGAGAAAAGTTCTTCATATAAATACATTAAAACTGTGATAGCTGGGGATATGGCTCAGTAGGTCTGCCACCAGCCTTGTAAACACAAGGGCCTGAGTTTGATCCCTGGTACCAAAAACAAAAAACAAAACAAAACAAAACAAAAAAAACACAACTGTCATTTAAAATAGGAGCTCACGAGGCCGGGGATTTAGCTCAGCGGTTCGGTGGCCTGCCTTACAAGCACAAGGACCCGAGTTCGAACTCCGGCACCAAAAAATAAATAAATAAATAAATAAAAGAATAAAATAGGAGCTCAAAAAATACTTAGTGAATGAATGGATGGATAAACAAGTTCCTCACATCTGCTGTCTCCTTGTTTGTTTTCTATTGCTATAACTACATTAGCTTAGGATCTGACCTTATGTGTGAAATAGTTTTAACCTTTTTGTAATTCCTGTTTTAGTCTCTATTCCATACGTCACATCAATGCAATGTTTTCTGTTCTAGAGCTAAGTTATTTATGGCATCACACCTAGAATTCCTAACCAGTGAAACCCCAACCCCTGTACACACAGACAGAGCCTGGTCCTTATGACAGGTTTACACTCAAATTACACAAGGTTTACACTAAATATAAATCTGCAGCCAGGCATAGTGACACACTTGTAATCCTAGCACTCAGGAGGCTGAGACAGGATCACTGTGAGTTCAAGAACCAGCTTAGGCTACACAGTGATTCAATGCTAGCCCCAACTACGTAGTGAAACCCTATCTTAGAGCAAACAAACAAAACACCTACATCTGCCATACTGAAATTTCTTTTTCATGTTCTTAAACACATTCCTTTCCTCTCTACCTTTTTTTTTTTTTTTGTCTTTCCATTCTTCTTACACGATCGAATTTCATATGCTATCTCTCTTCTAGGATAGCTTTACTGGTCCACTTTGCTCTATGCGTTAAGTAACTGAGCCCCACATTTCAAGGACACTTCACTTTTACTCTGTATCATAATTATGTGCATGTTTTCTCTTTAATTCAATTGAAATTATCATGAGCTTTTAAATTCTGCTCACAACTGTATTCAAATACAAAAATATTGTGGTTTGACTTAAGTGGCGTTCCATATACTTTCACTAAATCAGTAAAACAAGTATCTAAGATATATAAAAACAGCAATTAGGAAGACATAGGTATCATATTATAATACAATTCTCTTGATATAAAAAAATTTTATCTTTGGGCTTATACACCTGGACTATGAAAGAAAATTAAGTTCATGCTGGGCATGGTGGCACAGGCCTGTAATCCCAGCACTCGGGAGGCTAAGGCAGGAGGATCACTGTGAGTTCGAGACCAGCCCGGAGCTACATAGTAAGTTCTAGGTCAGTCTCAACTACACAGTGGGACGCTGTCTCAAAAAACTAAAAAAAAAAAAAATTAAGTTCACATAAAACAGGAGTCTTCCCAGCATTAAGCCCACTTGTTAAATGCTAAAAAAGCATTTCAGTCTTCTAATTAAGAAGCCAAATTCCTCCAAGGACAGAAACATAAATGTGGAACAGGTCTGCTGACAAAGTTTCCTACATGCTAAATACAAAATGTGCAAATCTAACTTATCAGGAGAATGGGAAAAATAGTGACTGGAGAAAATAGAAGTGACATTTGATGACTTACTCTATTTCTTTCACCTCAGTGGTGATTCAAAATGTGTTCATTCTCTGCAGGTATGCCATACTTCAAAGAACTTTTTTTTTCAAAATAAAAAATGCATCTTTCAACTTACTGTTGTACTTGGTGGCTGCAGTTTGCACTTGTGAAGCTAACAATCATCTGCAGTTTTTCAGCTGCATAGTTCACAAACTGCTGTTTGAAGGCTCTCTCTTTGGCACGGGTGGTCCAGGTCAGCCTTTCATAAAGATACAGTGCTCCATACATACTTAATGAAACAGACACGAGTTTCCAACCTATCGCTTTCCAAATCTGGAAGATAAAGTCACAGCTTACTCTGAAAAGAAAAATACAAGCTGGGGGAATATATTACAAGCTCACTACATATATTTCCGTCAGATCTATTTTCTAAAAATGTGTATTTCTTCACCATGAGAAAAGGTGATGTTAACTGAAAGTCAATCACATAGAAAAATGATCAGCACATAAATACCAGGAAAAACTGTTTAATTTGTCAGATTTGATAAACTGGTTCAATGTATCTCAAAATCTTCAACAATTAATTATTATTAAGTAAGCTGGACATGGCATATACACCTACTATAATACCAGTGTTTGGTAGGTTTATGCAGGACCATATAGTGATTCCAAGGCCAGCCTGTACTGTAGAGCAAGGCCTTGTCTTGGAAAGAACAACCAAACAGTCCAATACTAAAAATAACCTTTAATACTTTAAGACCGATTCCCTTTGTATTTAGACCACCTCCCTTTTCTCTTTCCCTCCTCCTTTTGTGGTACTCAGGGCCCTGAACATGCTAGACAAGCACTATACCACTAAGCATAATCCCAGCCCTATCAGACCTTTCTTGTTACTATAACATATAAATATTATTTTTATGCTGTGGTGTGAAAAGAGGAAGTATTGTTTCAAAACCAATACAGGACTGAGGAGATAGTTCAGTGATACAGTGCCTGTGTGCCCCAGGCCCTGTGTTCAATCCCCAGCAATACCAAAAAATATCCCAAACAAATCAAAACCAGATAGTCAGATATATTTAAATTTATAATAAGATTTGAGAAATTCTTCACTACTTTTAGCCTGTAGATTTTCATATTGCTTTATAGATCTTGGAAGCAGAAGTAAATATATCTTTCCTTTCGTGATCTAACAGACCACTTTGTGACAATTTCAATTAAAGCTGGTCATGGTGGCACTGCCAGGTGTGGTGGCAGAGGCCTATAAGTCCAGCAGTAGGGAGGCTGAGGCAGGAGGATCACTGAGACCTCAGGCCTGCTCAGGCTACATAGTGAGTTCAAGGCCAGTCTGAACACAGACCCTATCTCAAGAAAAGAAAAAAACAAACCAAGGATTACCGTTAAGTTCAAGGTTAGCCTGGGCTACATAGTGAGATCAATACCAGGCTAAACTATACAGAGAAGACCCTGTTTCAAAGAAACAAAACAATCAAAATCAACTATGCTGAAGATGTTTCTTACCACTCCTCCAACAACTATTATGCCCATAGAAGTCCTCGATGTAAGAGAAGCTAATCCTGTTATTAAGGTAACCATGAGTTCTTCCTGTGATGCATTATCTGGCGTTGCTGGATTAGTAGCTGCAGTGGGAGTTGAAGCTAAAGATCTAGGGAGCTGATAAATTTAGGGGGGGAAAGCATTACAGTCAAATAAGTTTAAGTGAGATAATTACTTTTATAAAATTACTTTTGTATTTCTTTTAAAATCAGAAGATGTATGAAAAAATGATTCCAAATAACACACTTACTACAAATATATAAGGAAAATAAAAATGAACAGAAAATGAGTTTTTGTGACATGGACCAATGATACCATTAACAATACATTTTCATAATATATCATGGAGTCTACCTGTATCAGTAATTTTCAACAAAAATTAAACTGCATTTTTAAAATAAATGGGCTGGGGGATAGTCCCAACACCAAAAGAATAAAAACAAACCACCCATCAAAAGCATGGATACTTTTTTTTTTTTTAAAAGTTGGACTTCAAAACAAAAACCTTTAAAATACAAAATACGTTAAAAAAAACTGAAAATATATATTTGGAAGTCATATGTTTGATAAAGGACTTGTACCTAAAATATATGAATAATTCCTAAAACTCAAGAGAAACCAAATAATATAATTTTAAAAATAACTAAAGATACGAACAGCTACTTCATAAAAATGGGTACACGAATAGCTAATAAGCACAAGAAAAGATGTTCCAAATCATTACTCATTAGGGAAATGGAAATCAAAACTACCATGAGCTACCACTTCACACCACTAGAATAAAGGACAATAACAGGTACACTGAGAAACTGGACGCTCCATACAATTCTGGTGGGAATGTAAAATGGTGCAATCATTTTTGGAAAACAGCTTGGCAATTCTTCAGAAAGTGAGTATGACCCACCATAGAGTCCAGCAATTCACTCCTATTTATATTTTTGAGAGAAATGAAAATACATTTCCACAGAAAAATATATGTTCACAGCAGTATTTTTCACACTGGCCCCAAAGTACTAACTACTAGTATTATCAACTGCTGAATGGATACAAATGTTGTATTTATTATAGAATATTACTTGGCCACCAGCAGCAATAAAATACTGACACTACAATACTGACACCATCATAGTAAAGCTTGAAAACATGCTAAGCAAAATAAGCCAATCAGATCAGAGCCAGAACTGGTAAAATCAAAGATACATACCTGAAAGATAGGCTCTGATAATCCACGCAGCACCCTCTGAGCATTTGTGGTGCCCAAGAATCGATGTACAAGGGATGACCAGCCCAGGGAAAAACGAAATTCAATATCTTCTTGAAAATTTGAACATAATTTATGGCAATTAAGGTCATAACTAAGATCAAACTTCTTGCAAGGAATCAGTGTATGAAGTTTATTCTGTATATCAGCTGGAAGCAATGGCTTCAAATTTTCTGGAAAGAATTACATTTATTATAAGAAATAGTCATAAATAATGTTGTCTTCTCTAAAATATTCTTTACCAACAAAGAAAAAAACTATACATGATCTTATAGACATAAAAATTACCAATAATTTCTTGCTGGGACTGAAGCATTGAGGCATTGACTTCACTGGTGCACCGATCAGCCAAATTTCTTCCCATACCATCTTCTATGTGTTTATTTAACTCCTGTTACCAATGGTAAATGTTCACATTATTTTCCTCCAGAAAATATATAGATTTTTAAAGACTTCTGAAATATACCAAATACTAAAATGATCCTAATTCCATTTAGAGGATACATTTTGGTTGTTTTTGTTTGGTTTTTGGTCCTGGGGACTGAACCCAGGCTTTCACACATGTATGCTAAGCATGTACTCCTGCCAAGCCACACCCCCACAGCCCTCTGTATAGTTCATATACGAGTGTACATGTACTACCAGTGCACAAGATTGCCAACATGACACAGAAACAGCCAAACCACTAAATAAGACTAAAGAATAAGGTACAGAAACCATCTCAGAATAACTTTTTAAGAACACTTTAACTTACACTTTTATATACTTTCAATACACTTGGAGTAGGATGAAACTCAGAACAAAATTCATCAACCAAAACAGACAGCCGACAGATTTCATCTGTCATTGCACACGAAACCTGAAAATATTTTAAAAATCAGTTTAAAATTTTAAAAAAAGATTATAAACTACTAAAAAATCAAATCAAAAGTACATTCCTTTAAGTTAAGGGATAACTTTTAGCATTATTAAAAAAGTTTCCATTTCCAGGTATCGTGATCATAAAGTTTTTACCTTATTTGCCACCTCCTCAGTAACTTCCTTGATTTTTTTCTTAACTTCCAGTGTTAAAAGATTCATTTGATTTCGAGTAAAGTCCAGTCTATCAATTTGATCTTCTCTCTCTTCCATTGAATAAACCCTAATATATGATAAAGAGTAATCAGTAAAGAGTATATCAAAGTCCCAAAGCAGTTAAGTAAGGACACTCTTTTATATATTGAACTATTAGCATGGCACAAGAAAAAAAATTGTGCATTTTGACATCTGAAAGGATTCATTTATTACTCTAATTTTATTTTACTTATGAAATACTCTGTATAGATGATTTGATATAAACTACACTGTCCCTTTGCCCATTTGGTACCTGATGCAGACAAAGGTTCAATAGTTTCTAAGTCTCCAAACACTTCACAAATATGAACAATCAAAACAGAACTCAGTTCAGTTAATAAATGTCAGCAAAGGGTAAGCCAAATCCAGCCAAAGCCAGTTTTTAACTACAGCTTTCTCAGAACACTGCTTCACTCATTCAGTTCTATATAGGACTGCTTTTGTTCTGAAACTGTAGAGCTGACTCACTACAACAGAAATAGTAAGGCCCACAAAGCCTATAATATTTATTATCTGGGCCTTCATAGAAAGTTCGTTGATTCCTAAATGACATAGGAAAACAAATACTTGAGATGCTTTTTAAGATTTTTAGCTCAAAGAGTTTCCATGTATTATATTTTAGAAACTATCCTCAAATCACATCTTTGTGTCATATTTAGTTCAATGTCCTGTATTTTTTGAAATTACTAAGATCAATCTGCTAGGCTAAATGTTGGGTACTATAATAAAGCCATCCGGTTGGAAGGGACTTCTATGGCAACTCAGTCTTATTACATAAAGGCTGTATACAGATACTACACTGTACTGGAGTTGAGATCAGTCTCAGGGTTCACAGCCTTATGTTCTATCGGCTGGCATTTCCCTACTTTTGTACTGAATGTATTCCTGAGACAGTACAAAAATCAAGCAACAGACTTATATGGGATATGGGAGGGGGGCATTCCCAGCAAAAGGAAATACATTTAAAATGTTTTATCTTATCTTGGATTTAATCTTTGGTGCTGTTTCTTTGAACAGGCATGTATCTATTAAAGGTCCCACTGAGGCTTAACATGATGATTAGTTGTGTCACATCTAATGATGTCCCGATTTTTATTTCTAGACTACCAAGTTTATTAGAACTATGTTTTACATCAATACTGTTATTACTGCTAGGTATTCATTTCCAGCTTTAAAGCGGGGCGGTCATGGGTTGACTGCATCAAAAGGATCACCTGATTTGGAATTCTTCATAAAATTCTGCTTGAAGAAATGGTTCTTCCACTGCTTTAAAGACATTTTAAATGTACTAAACATTTTAAATCATAACTCATACACAGGAATACTAAGATTTATGGTATGTAAATGATGTGTTAAGAGTTACAGAATTAATAAACCTATTTTGAAATATTCATTTAAAGACACGCAAGTAGACATCAATTAAATCCACAGGACTGATTTTAGTGGCAAGTATTTATAGTACAACTTAAAACTGTGGGGTTAAAAGTCTAACACAAAACTAACATTTTCATGTTGCAATAAAGTGAACTCATACCTTGTTTCTGCTGCTGCCACGTTTATTGAATCCACTATGTTTTTCACAGTGTCTAGTATCTGCTTAGCTCTGACAGTGTGCTGTTCAAACTTTGTTTTCACTGCTGACTGCGAGATACACTCCTGCGAGGGGCCCAAGCCATAACACATTACTGTAATTCCATCCCAACATTTTCAGGAATTTAAACACAAAAACTTGCTGATTTTAACTTAAATCGAAATAGAAATAAGGATAGGGGAAAAAAAAAAATAACAGTAAACACAACTTAAAATTACAAAGGTTAAAATAATTAAGATTCAAAAGTAAAGGAGGCTTTATTTAACAGCAAGTTTATATCTTTGTGTATTTTTACACAGTAATGTGGAATGGTTTGACTATAACATTTAAAACAAACAAAAATAAATAAATAAATGGCACTATATTTAATGTTTAAAAAGGTTTCCCATTATAAATACCTATTCTTATCACTGCTAAGCCAATTTGAGTTCATCTCTTATTTTTCTCACTTTTAACAGATAACCTAATAAAGTTCTTCAATAAGTTGTGAATTAAATTCCTATTAAGAAAATTAGCTGAATGATATGATAGTCTTTAGCAACTTGTTATATTTTAAATAATTTACAGGAAAGTATGTGCAGTTATTTTAAAGATAACTCTCCTTTCATCATTAGACTGCAGTGGGTACACACAGGCCTAATGATGCCCTAACTCATGTTTCACTTTCATGTAGCTCACAGTCCACTAAGAGTATAAATCAACTAAGCGTTTCATAACCAGTGTTTAACAGACTATAACAGAATGTACTGCATATGGTGACAGACATTTTGTACAATTTTTCAGTTTTTGACATATGCAATACCATTTGGGGTTTTTCTGGTTTGAGACAGGGTCTCACTATGTCATTCACACTGACTGGCCTTGAGCTCACTACATAGGCCAAGCTAGCTTCAAACTCTCTGTGATCCTTCTGCCTCAGCCACCCCAGGGCTCGGATAACAAGCATGTGTCACCATGCCTAGCTTGCAGTACTATTTATTATCACTGTAGTTTCATCATTCAAAATTCACAAAACTGTTATTTGATGATTGATTGGCCTCATTCCATTTTTACTTCATAGAAAAAACAAATTCTGCACTGATGTAACATTTAAAAACAAGTGTTTACAGAGAAATGCTATCCAGTCTTGAACAACCTAAGAGATGCTAGCCTGAGTCAAATCAGTATCAAACTACAAACTCTCCAATGCTATGACTATCTTCTTGATCCTCTTTATTGTTAACCTAGTATAAACTGTTAATTCCTAAAGCTCACTACTATCCCTCTTTTGTTAAAAAAGTAGCATGCAAGTTTTAAAAGGTATTAATATTCCAGTTATCCTGAAATCATTATGTAGTATATTACATGCTCATTAAATATACTGTTTATAACTGATGCTTAAATTCATTCTCCAAAATTATTTGTGCATTTCACTCAGAAAAAAGGTCTAGTATAATCTTGCTATGTCAGCTCCCCTCTTCAGGATTTTGTTTAAAGTACAGAAAACAAAATTAATTTCCTTAGATATAGGGCCCATAATGGTTATTCATTTAGTCAACAGTTTGAAAGACAACTCAGGAACTGTTGGTTTCTTGAATTAACTACCTTCACTTATGATGATGGTGACAGTTCTTGCTAATCCTCACAGGACTGGTAGTAGGAAGCCATGGTATTCCCATTCTAGGATGCTTCCTTCTTTAAATCCACCAGTAGTTACCCTCCAGTTAACTGAGCTGTAAACTACTCATCCTCTAATAAGCAAAACACAGCTTTGATTATATTCTAAATAACTGTGACTCATAAAAGTGCCAAATTAGGGCTGGGAATGCAGCTCAGCAGTACCATGCCTGCCTAGCAAGTGCAAGGTACTGAGTTCCATCCCCCCGCCCAAAAAAGTGCCAAACTAATCTCCACAAAATTATAATAAAAGCATAAAAATAATTTTAAAAGAAAAAAAGGTTAAAAGAAAGCCTATATTCCTCGACGAAGTAGGTCTAGATATCAGCAATGAAGATTCAAATTCATAGGTAACAGCACAGTGTTAGAGCTAGACTGGACAGATATGAAAAGATCTCCAAAGTGTTATTAGACAATATGTTACTTGTTTCAAAAACATATAATGATGAATGAACATAAAGAGACAATCTTTTTCTAATTAAAAAGTATTATACATTGACTGGTGTTCCTGTTCATCTGCAGGATGGTAAGAGGCATGGGAAAAGAGTCTTTACACACTAATATGCTATTCTCCACGGGGAACATATATAATATACAAAGTACCCATATTTATCACAAACTAATATTCAGAGAAATTTAAAATACTATAAAAAACTAATTAAATTTCCATCTTGTCAGGGTATTCTGTATGCTACATTTAAACTTATTAATGGCTGAGAACCAATATAAAAATTGCGTCCCTATGACGAGTTTATTTTCTATGACATTGAGAGCAGCTGGCTGATAGTTACACATGCAGTTACACATTTTTAGCTATTAATATGTTTAAAACAGAACCAATGAATCTGTTAAGTCCCCTTGATGACAGACCCCACAAACAAACAATATAAAATTCACTGCTCCAAACTTATAATTTCAGTGTATTTTAAATTGACAGGAAAGTGCAAAAAAGGACACTAATATACCTTTTAGCTAGATGTACCAAATATTAATAGTCAGCCTCATCTGTTTTGTTTTTATTTTGATTTTTGAGACAGGATCTCACTCTATATTCCAGGATGACTTCAAACTCAAGAGATCTTTCCAGAGTGCTGGGGTTAGAGGAATGGGCCACTATGCCTGGCTTCCGTCTCATTTATTTCTCTCCTTTTATCTCTCACCACACACATACACACATTTTAATACACTTATACATACACACATACACACATGTATACATAGAAGAGTGATAAAAAACATAGTAAATGTTTAAATTTTAAAAATAAACTTATCCAAGTCAGGCGTGGTGGTACATGCCTGTAATCCCAAGCACTTGGGAAGCTGAGGCAGAAGGATCACAAGTTCAAGGCCAGCCTGGGCTACAGAGTGAGTTCAGGGACAGTCTGAACTACAAAGTGAAACCCTGTCTCAAAAATTAATAAATAAACTTATCCAATAAAAGACACATTGCTAAGAACAATGGAATAAGTGCATTCCAAGTGTGGCGGGGTATTCTGAGTATTTTACTAGCAATGTCTTTTATTGTAAATTTTAAAAATTTAGGGCCAGGGATTTAGCTCAATGGTGCTGCCACCTGCCTCGAAAGCACAAGGTCCTGGGTTTGATTCCCCAGTACCAATAAATAAACAAACATTCACCGTATTTATTAACTTGCATACATACACATTTTGAAGAGACAGGCTCTTACTAAATAAGTTGCCCAGGTTGGTCCTGAACTCTTGGGCTAAGCAACTTTTGCCACTGGAACAATATTACTACATAACACAGCCCACATACGTATTTCACTAAGCATTCCAAAACTACACTTTACAACAAATCCACTGATATTTAAGAAGTTAACTTTATACCCCTCTTCTCTCCAGTCATATAAGCAAAACTATTAAAAATAGATAATGAGAAATATTTGGGCAAACAAGTTTGGATTTTTAACTGGCCTTTCCAATAATGTCTATCCAAATGTAGATTTTAAAAGGCCAGAAAATCTGCAGATGGCAGTGCACATCTGTATCCCAGCACTGTGGGAGATGAGGCAAGAGGATCACAGCTCCACCCCAGCCAGGGGACTTGGCGAAACCTTGTCTCAGTATTTTTTTTCTTTTAGTCTTCTGGGGCAGGGTCTTACTATATATTCTAGGCTAGTCTTGAACTCACTATGTATCCCAGGCTATCCTCAAACTCGACAATTCTCTTGCCTCAGCCTCCTGAATGCTGGGATTACAGGTGTGCAACACCATGCCTGGGAAATTTTAAAAAAGGTTCGGGATGTAGGTCAGTCCAAACCCCCCACACATACACACACAAGAATAATACTGATTTTCTTGATTGCTTTTACTCCACTTCACTTCCAATTCTTGGCTTGGGACTATGGCTCAAAAGTAGAGTGCTTGCCTAGCATGCATAGGGCTCTGTGTTCAACCCCCAGAACCTTTAAAAAAAAAAAAGTCTTCTAAGTATACTCAATTTTCGTATTGCCATTTAAGCAGTTACAATCTAGAAGCAGGAATAATTACAAATGGATGTTTTTCTAATTATGAGGTCTCTGTGTCCATTAACAGGAATGTGATATATAATCTAGGCAGAACTACAGTTTAGAAGGTTATCATCTAAAGAACTTTTCAGTCAAATGCAGGATGGTTCTTCATGTCTCTGAATACTCAAATGACTACTGTTTAAAAGAATAAATTATCCTCCCTCCCAACGCTACATACACGTATATCACCACTCAGCCACTTTAGTAGCTTCCTATCAATTCCTAAAGTACCAGAGCAGTATTCATTCTCTTGGTCACAACATTTGGCACCAAATGAAAAGGGTTAACAAACAGCAATATACCACAGAAATGTAATAAAATGTCAAATGGCACTAACCATGCTCTATTTAGCTCTATGAGTATTACAATATAAAAAAGATAATTTTCACTTTGCTCTATGATCTGTTCCAACAGCAGTTGCACCAAATTACAAAATACAAAGACTTTTTTTTTGGTACCAGGAATTTAACTTGGGCCCTTTGCGCTTGCAGGGCAGGTGGCAGAACCACTGAGCCAAATCCCCAGCCTACAAAGACTTTTATTCACTGCACAACACAAGCAATAATGGAAACCAGTTTCTTATTTATACATAAATATGTAAAGTAAAAGAATAAAGAAGAAATAATCTTTAATTCTCAGTTCTTACAGATCATCCACTTTGCAGGGGCTTCCTTTCTTCAACCTTTCCTTGTTTCACTTGCTGTGTCAGTAACTACACTAAATAACAGCAGAGGTTATTGACAAAGATAGATAATGAAAATGAAGATTACAACCACTCTCTAACCAACAAAAGTATTTTGTATTAGCCAACACATTCAGAAAAGTCGTACCTCAAAAATTTGTTCAAAATTCTGAAACTCCTGTAACCTTGCCTGAAATCCTTCAGCAATTGCCCCACCTGTAAGATAGGCAAAAAATTTTAAAGCTAGTACAGTACTCTACTCTTATCGTTGAGAGATACATTCCAAGATCCCTTACCGATCGATGACTGAAACTATAGATACTAAACCCTATAAATAGTAAGTCTTTTCCTACAATATACATACACAAATTTAATCCCTTTCCCATCTTAACTAAGCATTTGTCAGGCACTGTGGCCACAACTCCTGAAATTGGAGGTGCGACCAGAAAAACTAGCATAATTTTCTTTCTTCATAATTTTCACATAAAAGAATTATTCATAGATCTGTGACCTCAGCACATTTCTTTCTTGCTTTAATAAGGCATTTTTACCTTTTCACTTAATAGAAAGCACTTTAATGGTGCGAGGTACCACAACGGCAACATAACTTTGCTGTTTTCTGGATATTATTCTTTTCTTTGTTTTTTGTTTTTTTTAATGGAATGTGGTGAATGTCTATAATTTTGTTCAGATGACTGCGGAACCTGGAAAAGCTGTTGCTGCTATTGATGTATAACATACTGCTATTATTAGTCTTTTTATATAAATATAAATACACACACACACACACACACACACACACACACACACACACACATATATAAATTGAATTTTGGGAAACTTTAACGGTGCTGTCAACTTTGGAAAAAGTTATCCTAATTTACTGTGTTGAGTTGGCATTGTACAGAAATGGACAGCCATATTGGTCTAGAAATGTTAACTTTTTTTTTCCATTTGTACAGGGGTAACACACTGTACTAAATATGTAAGGTCATATCTACATGGGTTTGATTACAGAAAATAATAAAGTATTCTCTAAATAATGAAAAAAAAAGATAAGACTACAAGAGCAAGAAGCAATTTAAATATGTTAAGGGACCATTTTCATCTTCAGAATTAAGGATTATTTTAATCTTACATCATTGTCTTTTCTTTTACTTTCCTTTTTAGTTTTATTTTAGGATTCCCTATTTTTAATGTTCATACAGAGATTTATTTAACTGAAATACCGAATAGTTTCTCTGGTGTGAAAAACTATAATAGTACACAGGATCTTAATGAGATAATTAATAATGTGAAATAGGAAGTAAAGGGCTAAAAGTGTAGGGAAAGTGGGAAGGGTGGGGGAAAGGTAATAAGAGAGAGGAAAAAAATATCAGAAACTGAAAAAATGGAAATAAAGTGTTTGTAAATGGGGAGGGGAGGAGGGGGTGAAGGGAGGGAAGGGACAAGGGGAAAAAATGAGAATTAAAACCTATTATGTAAAGGTACAGGAGGATCCCAATAATGAATGTAACTGTACTGTATACCTAGATGGTACCAATAAACTCAATAAAAGGAAAAAAAAAATCAAAAAATAGAAAGCACTTTATAGCTTCCCTTTGGCATATATGTAAGTAAGTTCTGTTTTCTGGGCCATTATAAAGTAAAATAAAGGTTACTTGTATACCAGCACCCCAGCAAAAGTGCCAGCTATCTGACTACCAAGATGACTGGGCAAGGAAGAGAGTATGGAATTGCTGGACAAAAGGATTCCCATCACCTAGAATGAGAGATTTCATCACACTACTCAGAACAGTGAGTGATTTAAAACTTATGAATTGTTTATTTCTGAAATTTTCCATTTAATGTTTTCAGACCACAGTTTTATAACGCTGGGTGGGGAACTACTGTATAGAGCAAGCATATTACTGTTTTTTACAACCTAAATTTTATTTTAAAAAGAAACCTAAAATACATACCACCTTCTGGCAACCCCTGTATTTTGTGTTTTCTAGCACTAAGAACTTCCTTTGCTGAAACAAAGAAGATACGATTCCGTGCTTCTAAAGGATCCACAACTTTGAGTTCCTCCACCAAGAAATGCATACATCTTTCCATGTGTTGTCTGCGTACCTACAAAGAATATCAAAAGAATTCTAAAATAATTATAATTATTTGTGTGTAATAACTGTATAATTATAATCAACAGCCATAGACCTATATTCTAAACTTCTTTACAGTGACAATAATAATTTGCATAGACTTAATGAATCCAGGAAATTTTAATGCACCTTGATACTTGACAGGAAATCTTTTCTCATAATGATCTTCCTTTTGAATATTTATTTAAAATTAATGGATCAAATACTACACAACCATTACAAAGCACTGCAGATAAATATTAATTCTTAAATGCTATGGAAATAGTTTCTCAATTTTGTATTAAGACTGCAACTATTTCACAAAAAGTCAGGTGTATATATGTATATAAATTAATAGTGGTAGGCAGGCAACACCCCTAAAAATGGGTGGCACTTTTTCTTCCTTATTATGCTTTTCTATTTTCTAAAGTTTCTGTAATTTTCTGAATTTTCTATTTTCTAAATTTTCTGTTAATACTTTTGAAGTCACAAAATAAGCACTACAATAAATTTGTTAAAATGAAGCTATTTTAATATTTTTAAAGCAGAACATTAATGGTATGTCTTTGTTCTTAAAAACAATGGGAATTTAAAATCCTCAACAAGGTATTTACAAACAGAATACAACAATCAATCCATGCAATACACCACATAAACAGAAGGATAAAAATCACATGATCATCTCAATAGATGAAGAAGCCTTTGACATCAAACACAATAAAATCCCTGGCAAAAATACATATAGAAAGACCTTACCTCAAACTGATAGTCATTTATGACAAGTCCACCACCATGACACTAAATGGGGAAAAACTCAATAAATGTGTATATTATATCACAAACATATAATAAAAAGGTAAAATAAACCAATAGGGAAAAACTAAAAGCATTCACTCTGAAATCAGAAATAAGACAAGGGTCCGGATTTAATTCAGTGGTTCTGCCGCATGCCATGAAAGCACAAGGACCCAAGTTCCATCCCTGGTACCAAAGTAAAAAAAGAAATAAGACAAGGGCAACCATTACTGCTGCTCATGTTCAACAAAGCAATACTCAAAACTTTAGCTAGAACAATCACACAAGAGAAAGAAAAGAGATATGAACAGGAAAGGAAGAAGTCAAACAATCCTTATTCACAGAGACATTATCCTTAACACAGAAGACCCAGAAAAATCACCAGAAGCCTTAGAAAGAGTAAACAAATTCAGCAAAGTATTAGAATATAAAATCAACCCAACAATGCCAACAATAAACCCACAGAAAAACAAATCAGGAAAACAATTTGTGGAATGTTTTCAATTCATTAAAATAAAAATTAAATAACTAGGAATTAATCTAATGAAGTAACTGAAAAACCTTTGTAATGAAAACTACAGTACTCCTAAGAAAAGATTAAAGAGGACATTAGAAAATGGAAAGGCCATCATCCCCTGCTCCTGGACAGGCAGAACTGATAATATCAAAGTGGAGAAATTACCAAAAAATGATATAAAGATTTAATGCAATTCCAATCAAAACATCAATAGCACTTATCACCCAACTAGAAAAAATGAACCTAAAATTTATATGGAACCAGAAGAGAATTAGATAAGCTGAAAAAAATCCCAAGCAAAAAGACAAAAGCAGGAGGCATTTCAATCCCAGATAAAGCTATAGCAATAAAACAGCATGGTACTAGAACAAAATATACTGACCAACAGAACAGAACTGAGGGAGCAGAAACCTCCACCTCAGGCAGATTCAGACATCTAACTGCTGACAGAAAGACCAAAAACATACACTGGAGAAAAGATACCTCTTTAACAAATGGTGCCTGGAAAATTGGTTATCCACCCACTGAGATCACATCTTAAACCAGCAAGAATGGCTATCACTAAGGACCCAAAAAACTCAAGAAAAGCTGACAAGATTGTGGGGGAAAAGGAACCCTTCTATCTTGTTAGTGGGAATGTAAACTAGTATAACCACTGTGGAAATCAGTATGGAGATTCCTCAAACAACTAAAAATAGGAATTCCATATGGCCCAACTATTCCTCTTGTGGGCATCTTTTAGAAAAAGTTAAACTCATATTAAAGTGACACCCAAGTTCATAGTAGCAAAATTCACAGTAGCTCAATTACGGACATGGTCTATATGCCTTTAGACACATGGACAGACAAAGATGATGTGGTATATTGTATATAAACAACAAAGTACTATTCAGCCATAAAAGATAAAACTGAAGTCAGGCATGGTGGTACACACCTATAATCCCAGCACTTGGGAGACTAAGGCAGGAGGATTGCTGGGAGTTTGAGGCTAGCCTGGGCTACATAGTGAGTTCAAGGCCAGCCTGAACTACAAAGCAGGACCCTGTCTCAAAAATAAATAAATAAAATTGAGTTGTTTAGTTACTTGTATTTTGACACCACAATGCTAAGTGAAATAAGCCAGACCCACAAGCTTAAATACTGCAATCTCTTTTATATGAGAAATCACAAATATAAATAAATGAAAAAGTGAATAGGAAACTGCCCACATGGCATTCACCCCTGGCCAATAATACACACATATATTCTGCTCTCTGGCTGCAGCTACTCAACTCCAAGCACACTCTGCAGTTTGTTTCTTCTCCGCATGGGGGAGCAGAGCCACTGAGCAACCAAATTATCTGATCGTGGATGAGCCCAGCACCCAGGGAGAGAAGATAAGCCCTGTAGAGTCAGCAGCTCCAGGGAGAAATAACAGAACTGGCCAGCAGTGTTAGCCCAAAGAAAAGCCCACGGCTATTGTAAGCTACAAAAACAGCATGAGTTTTGCTCCTAAAGTGACTCTCTCACAGTAGGCTACACTTGGAGAAGAAAGCCATTACAGCACCTGCCACACTACCAGAGAGTGTTTCATCAGGTGTTGTTTTGGGAAAGGGTTAACGACTTAATAATGGCCACAGAACAGCTACAAAATAACTCCACTCCAGGGTTTTCAGTGCTACTCCCTCCCGCAGTGACTGGATGAGGCCATATTGAGGGTCCCGGTTAGAGTCTCCCTGACAAGTTTAGACTCCAGCTAGAAAGACATGGGCCCCTGCTCTCCAAGGTAAGATAGCAGTCCTTGTGAGTGTGGCTTTCATGGGTGGTTGGAACTGAAAGTGCTCGCATAAGTCCAGCAATCTGCTTGAACTCCCAGCCACTGCCTAAATCAAGCAGAGACCAGAGGTCTGACTGCTTTGCTACCTACCAACACGAACAGCATGGACACACCTTGATAGTTGCCACAGTCTGAGGTTCATGGATTACAGTGGCATCCGGAGCAGCGGGGGCACCTCACAAACTCACAGACTATAAAGTTAAGTGGAAAACATCCTGACTTGCTGGATTCCAAGACTTCAGATCCCATAAAGAAATCACTCATTCAAAAAGAATTTTGCTGAGTGGAAATAAGGACTAAATGTATAATAAGATATTGGTAAATGGGAAGAAAATGTTCAAATGGGAAGAGGAAAAAAGGAGGAGGAGGGAGAAAGGAAAGAAAGGACAAGAAAAAAGGTGAAAATAGAAGGAAAAAATGCAAACAGCATTTGTACATAGGGAGAGGAAGGGGTTTGAGGGCAGGGAAAAAAGGGGCAAATATACCATGTACAAGTGCAAATTCCCTGATGAGTGTTATCATTATGAAATGTACCAATAAATGTTTTCTTTTTCCTTCAGTGGTTTTGAGGAATCGAAGATTTTATCTCCTTTTTTCCTTTTCAATTCTTTTTCTTTTTGTCTTTCTTTTCTTCTTTTGCTATTACTTTTATCTACTACTACTAATTTCCCTTAACTCATCAATAGACAATAGGATACTTTATCTCCTTTTTCTCTCTTCATCTTCGACAGATTTATTTTTCAAATTCTCTTTTGATTCTCTGGTTCACCATACCCTTTATGCTTTTTTCTTTTTCTTCTTTGGTGCCAGGGATTGAACTCAGGACCTTGTGCTTGCAAGGTCGGTGGCAGCACCACTGAGCTAAATCCCTGGTCCTCCCTTTATCCTCACTAGTATAACCATTAAGTTCTAAGAATCTTTACATGTGAACTCAATGCTATTACTGTTGAATACTGTTCCATTATTGGTAGAGGAATAGTTGGTGCATTTACCGATAGCAGGTATTTATTTTATGTCAATATTTTGCTTACTTTAGTGTTTATACTATAATTACAGATCTCGTCTACAGTTAAGGGTGGCACATCACTGCTTCTAAAAAGGAACACTGAACTGTCTGGAGAAGAACAATTTGTGGGTGATATTTCAGAATTCAACAATTAAGTGAGACCCTAATTTAGAGTATCATCCAAAATAAATAATAGTAAAAAATAAATAAATAGCAGAATGTTAACTTTATATTAAGCAAAATTCCAATAATGGAGAAAATGAAAGCAAATTACCTAACACTCAAATACTGATGGAAGAGGGTTCTTTTATATCTTTTGTTTTCTACAATAAACCTCTACTATTATAAAATCAAAAAAAGGAGAATCAAGCAAATTAGTTATCTTGTAAACCTAATGTCAGATTTTAAAAAGTGAGGCTGTAAATCCCGTGGAGCTTCTCATTGGCTCGTAGAAATATAAGGTCATACCAAACACTTTTAGAAAATTTTGGGGCTGTCTTTAAAGATACTACATTTTGCTAAATTTTAAATACTACACACACACAACTTGGATATTTGACCACATAATCTAAAGTATGCTTATCTCCATTAAGCATTAAAGACCTCAGCTTAATTTGTGAGGCCTAATTCTGTTGTCTTCTCACTCTACTCTGAAAGTTCTACACATAACCATATATATATAT